GAATAATATAAATATATATGCGATACAGCATGATTTGAACTACTATAGAAACTAATAAAAGACAAATTTTCTAAGGCTTATAAAAAAAAAAAGACCTATTGAACAATACAATATATAAAGAAAATTGCAGTTGCTACAATAAACACCCTTCACATTCATATTGTAAAATCCAGAGAACAATGTTTGGTCACGTGCTTTGCTTATCATCCTATGATTTATCAAACGTGAAATACAGCAATTGGAATAACATGGTTCTGAAATTGACATCTTCGACTAGGATTGGCTAAAAGTTTTATAGCTGAGTTTTAACATGCCCAGATGCTGTTTTATAAAGAAAACAAACTAGAAAAAGGTTTAGATACAAATTATAGATGGCAGGACCAGCACTATATTGCAAGGAAAAAATCTTTTTAAATGTTGTAAACAATTTTCTTCCTAAAGGGCACTTATTTATAGTCTGAGATGTATTTTGGGATTTTCTTTCTTAAATTTCTCTTTAAAGTTTATCAAATAATACAATTTAGGACAAATGTTATACTACTATTTACAAAAATAAAATCTGAATTCCAATAAAAGATAAGCTCTTTATAATTTTTTCAATTCACAAATGTAGTTTTGCTCTCACGATAAGACAAAATGGCGCCGGTAGGTAAGGGGTTAAATTTCAAATAGTTACGTGACAAATAGCCCTTTGCATTCAAAACAAAAGAATTGTAGTACAAATAAAAAATATGAAAAAAAACGTATATGTATCCACCAAAGAAGGATCCACACATTCATGGGAATACACCATTTTTTTACAGCTTTTGTATGTGAAGTAAAAATATAACTTAATTTTAAAAAAATTAGAAACAGTTATGAGTGCTCGTACTCATAACTTTCCACACCTCAAACTACTAGTGGTGTGAAATTCATATTGTCCAACACCTAGGGCAAAATGTTTGAGTGACAAGAAATTTTACTTTTATACATTGCCCATGAGACAAGTAGGTTTTCTTTTTCACATTTTTCATTATAGTACTAGAAAACCACTGAGTAGATTTCTGAGGAGCTATGCAAATTCCTGAAAATTCTGAGACAGTCATAGCTAAACATTTTCACACAAAGTGTATCAGTCTATATACCCCATCAATTTTGCATCATTTTTTAACATGTATATATATATATATATATATCATGTTATTACTCTCCACCAATAGTACAGCACGACTTGTATTGGTGCAGCTAGCTCCCTCTGCTATTCCTGCTCAATACTCACACTCTTGATTGGCACAACATTGTTTAGACATTTTTTTTTTTCACATGTGGCTACCACTTATGAATGTGCTTCTTTGCCATTATAAATGTTTTCAACAGTTTTATTTTGCTGTGTTTGCATTCACTTGTTTCAACACTTTCTTGTTACCAAATTATAAGAGATCTTCGTACGACTTTGCAATCTATGTTTTCGAATACAGTTTACAGAAATTCTTGTTACAGTCGAAAACATGACTGTTACAACTTCCCAGGAATCAGGTTCAATTTTATCTGCAGAGCAGGTACAGGCCTTAACTTGCAGGATGGTTGATTCATCTGCTCAATGTGACAATGTTTCTGAGGAAGAATACAATCCGTGAGAAAACAATTTGGACTCTCCTTTTGTGGCTCCTTCTTATTTTGGTCTGTCACACAATACACCTCATCAGGAGTTTTCATCTTCCACCAGTTGGCATGCTGCCACGTCATTCACTTTGGTGGAGAATCATTCTTTTCCTCCTTTCTTCCTATTGCTTCCAGTTCTTCCAGGGGATATGTGGTAAGTTTTTCAACCTGTACACTTCACACCTGGCTTATATACTTGTGGTAGGTGGAGATCAGATGCCCTTTGTATGGCTTTGTCCTTATTTACAAATTGTAGAATTAAGCATTTCACGTTATGTGTAATAGGACTTTGATAAGTTAGACATTTATATATCCTTGTCTTCTAAGTTACTTTAGTTGAATTGTAAGTTAGATATTGATTATTACTTTGTTTTTTAGGTAAGTTTAATTGTTCTGCACTTTCATTAGTATTACGTACTGTGTAAACTCTGCAAAATTTGTGGGTTTGTTAGTTTGTTATTAATAAGTACTTTAACTCTAAACACTGGCTTAGTCAATTTGACTGACCATGTGACCTCTTTTTACTTGATTGAAGTCTTTATAGATTTAATACTTCTAACTTTCAATATAGTGTGTATATCTTTACAAAATTTGGCAGTCTTTCAGTTAACATTATAAGTCTTTCACAGAAAAAAAAATCATATTTTTAGTGAAGTATTTTTAATAAACTAAAACAAAGATTTGTTTATGAGTATATTAAGTATTTGTTTTGAATAGTCCGTGTGCAAAGTGATTTTCATGTTACAATTAAAAATACTTAAATCTCAAATTTCCTTTGTTATGGTCCATAAAACCTCCTTAATACATTTCAAGCATTTTTATTTTCAGTAAAACTTTGTATTTTATCTGTTATTTTCTCCACACATCTTTATACGGTATTGGTCAATTTGAC